AATTAGCCAGGTGTGGTAGCGCGCCTGTAGTTCCAGCTACTTGGAAGGCTGAGGCGGAAGGATCGCCGGAGCCCAGCAGGTCGAGGCTGCGGTGGCTGGGAGCGGCCACTGCACTCCAGTCTGGGTGACAGAGTGAGACTCCAACTCAAAAAAACAAAAACAAAACAAAAAAAAAGAAAACACCACAATTTATTTATCCATTTCTGATGATGGATAGTTTCCAGTATTTTGCTATTTTGATGTCTCCATAAATGTTCTTGATAATGTTTTTGGTGTCTATGCACAAAAATTTCCTTAGCAAAAATACTTAAGAGTAGAATTGCTGAAGTGGGACAAGGGTCATACTCCTTTAGGTTTGTGAGGCTATGTCAAATTGTTTCTTAAAGTAGTTGCATCAATTTATACTTCTGCCTGTGGCATATGAGCTCCCTCTTGACACTTGATATTTTCCCTGTCTTAAAAATGTTTGTCCATCTGATGCTGATAGAATATTATATTGTTGTGGCTTTAACTTGTAATTCCTTAATCACTAATGTGCTAGAACATATTTTCATATGTATATTGGTCATTTATGTCTCCTCTGTTGTGAAATATCATTCAGGTTTTTTCTCTCCTCTTTTTAATAGTGTTTTAATTTTTTCTTATTTATTATACTCTGATACTGATGATGTGTTAATTTTATCTTTTCCCAATATGTGGATCATTGAGAAAAAGTATCTTTAAAAATTTAAATTCTTAATTTTAATGTGGTTAAAATTAAATATTTTTCCCCCTTTAGCTCATGCTTTTAAAAGTGTTTAAGAGATATATAACACAAAATTTACCATTTTAACCATTTTAAGTGTACCATTCAGTGACAGAAGTACATTCACATTATTGTGTAACTATTACCACTACCCATCTCTAGAATTGCTTGTGCTTTTTCTTAATGTCTTTTTAAAGAAATTCTTTGCTGCATCAAGACCATAAAGATCATCTATATATTTGCTCTAAGTTCTTAAGATTTTTCCTTTCATATGTAAGTCCTTAAGTCATCTGGAACTGATTTTGTGTATTGTGGGATATAGGGAATACATTTTCCCCCAATATAGGCAATTGTCACAGCACCATTTAGGATTGTCCACCTTTTTTCATTGATTTGTACAATGGATCTGTCATATACTGGGTTTCTTCGTTGGTATGGGACCATTTCTGGGTTTTCTATTCTGTTCCATTGGTTGATGCGCTTATGTTTGTACCAATATCACATTGTTTTAAATACTATGAATTTATGATAAGCCTTCCATCTGCCTATAATGCTATTTTCCTAATAACACACACAACTAAATCTCTAATTTTCTTCTGTTCTCTGCTTCATGGCAACCCTCTTAGTTGGTCTTTCCAGGCTATCCTTTAAAATTTTAATGCCTCCTCGAAAAATTTTATGTCCTCCTTCTCCAGTTTATTTTTTCTGCTCAATAGCTATTATCTAAGATAGTAATGTGTGTATTTATCTTTTTTTATTGTCTCTCCCACTAGAATATAAGGTTTAAGAGGGCAGGGATTGTCTCAGAATTTTTAATTACTATTTCTGGAGCTTAATAACTATTTCTGGAACAAATCAAATAATGTTGATATATGGAAAGGTGGCTCTCCTTCCCTGTACTACCTTTCAAAGAATGCTTTCTCTCTTGTTCATTGCTCCTTTAGACTAATAAAAACAACCTAAAGCAATTGGAGAAAGAATAAAGTGATTTCTTTAGGTTTCTCTCCCAGCCAACTTGCAGAGGTGGGTAGTGAGATGAGGAGGGTGGAGGGACCAGAGGTTGGCCAGCTCTGAATTAGCCTTTATGGGTCAGCTACGCTGCTTGAAATACCTCCTGCCCTCTGCTTTTCATGGCAAGAGAGCTGGCAGGATCTGGAGTTTATAGCATGCTAACTTGGTAAAGAAGCTACCACGCCTTTGGTTTTTAGGGAGACACACCCTGCACAGAGGAGGAATGAGCACTCACTTAGATTTACCAAGCATGGCAATGAAATTCTCAGATCTAAGTGTGACACACTATGGGACAGAAGTCCTGGAGGTGTGGAGTCATCTCAGGGTGAGTGCCCTCTGGGGGCAATGTCTATGGCTGGGTAAAGTCCAGGGCAGGCATTAAATTAAGCAGAGATGAATCATGGAAATTCTGCCAGAGAAGGTACTCTGTGCTCTATTACAGGCTAAACTGAGAAGCCAAGTCATTCTGGAAGGAATGTGTAGAAAGTTTTCAGATGAGGACTTGAAGTTTTATAGGCTGGAGTCACACTTGATTCAAACCATCTGTTTAATGTGAAACCAAACCCAGCATTTCTTTCATATCTCTCTCACTGTATTCATGAATTCCGTCTCATAGATATTTGTTGAGGGCCCATGGGGTGCCAGGCACTGGGATTACAAGAGTGAATGAAACAGTCATTCCTGTTTTTGAGATGCTTATGGTTTAGTGGAAATAAAAATAAAAATAAAAATTATGTGTTTTCCTCCTCCCAATTGAGATCAGTGTCTGTAATTTACAAAATCCTCGGTTGCCAGGGCTCAGCATTGTGTCAATCTATTTTTGTTGATAAAATGAATACATGAAAGAGCCCATAGTCATTTACTGAACATGGCTACAGAAATGTATAACATTATCTTGCATTATTGCTACTGCAATATACAGATTTGTGTTGTAATTTCTTCTGGATACAGAAAACACTCTTCACAGTGAGGTAGTGACCAAAACTGTGGCATTAGAAGACAATAAAAATGCTGGAATAGCTGACCCACAGGCCATTTTGTTCCCTGAGGCTTAAAATAGGTTTATATTATGATGAAAAGGCAGATGTTATGTGACATGGTAAGACGTTGATAAAGTTAAATATGAACCCATTTTTCCAGTTTTCTGTAAGCTGGTCAGAAATGACATTAGTTACTTCACCTTTTAATTTGGAAGATATTGTAGTAGGCGCTTTAGGGATCACAAAGACAAATATATGGTTTGTGTAAAAAAAGCTTAAAATCTAGTAGTGCTGGTAGTTCTTAACTAGTCATGCATGGTGATCTTGAACCTCTTGAAGTAGTGCACATGATTTGTGTGTAAGTGCATTCATTTGAGGAGGGCTTTCATCAAATTGTTCAGTGATTCATGTTCCTAAAATTAACAACCTGTGAAGTAGAGGTTCAACTAGCAAAAGAAGTACACCATATGAAAATCATGAAGAGCCTTGGGGGTTTAAATGAAGGGCAACACAAGTGGCAACAATGAGTATTTTCATTGTGAAATCTTTGCCGATTTTGCAGGCAAACATTCTTTGCCGTCAGTGATAAACATTTTCCACACTGTTCTTTAATTATTAGTTATTTTGTCTATGAGTTACTTGTTCATCTTGTTTTCCCATTTTTCTCGTGTCTTAGGATTTTTTCCCAAAGAATTAACTTCTTTGTATTCTGGTGGTATTAACTTTTTTGGGTAAATTTTTGGTAATTTTCCCCCCCAGTTTGATGACTGCAAAATAATTTTGTGAAATTTTTAGGTGTATAGCTTTATAGTCAAATCTTTAGATCTTTTATTTCTTTGTCATGTAGTCTATTTAAATTCCGTTGCTATCCAGAGATCAGATACTCATGTAAATATTCTTATGGTCTGTGCTCCAGGTTTTCTTCAGGCAGTTAATTTGCTTTCACATGTCTCCTTTGGGCCAGGCGAATGTTAATTATGTGTCTTATACACAGAGAAGGCATATGAGGTGACACTCTGCTGTCATGTTAGAGTGGGAACAGTGAGATGGTTAGTATTGTGGGTCCTGGAGACAATTGCCACGAGTTTGAACCTGGTTCTGACATTAATATGACCTTTTGAAGAACGTCTCTGTTTTTCAGTTTCCTTATCTGCAAAATGGGTTAATAAAGAACTTCATATGGTAATGAGATGAAAATGAATTGATATGTAAACCACTTAGAGGAGATCCCGGTACAAAGTCAGTGCCAGCAACAGTTGAGTCCATGCTGGGTAGGAGCTTTGAAGCTTAATATTGTTTCAATGTACTTTGCATTTCTAAAAACTCGAGCATTTGCAAGTTTTCTTTATCTCCAGTAATTCCCTTTGCCAAAGCCTCCTTCCACCACTTTTGTGAGTGAGGCACGCCTCCTAGAGGCCACAAGTGAGGCTTATTTCCAGTTCTTGGAACCCTCATAGGCAGCAGTGGGGGAGCTGGTGAGTATACAGTCTGACATCTGAAAAGCAAGCGGCACGCCCACTTTATCCCCAGGGCTTCTACCTTCCCTCTGAGCCCGATCTCTTCTTATTCCTGTAGACCCCAAAGCAATTTCTGCGAGTGTGCACTCACCCACCCATTCTAGTTCATCCCACCGATGTTGTGCTGAGCGCTATGTACGAGGCATGGCGGGGGAGTGAGCTGACCGTGGGGGGCTTGCCGCCCAGTAGAAAAACAAAAATATGCATTGTACGTAGACGCGCAAACTAACGATTACCTCGTCGTTCTGTTTTCTCATCTGCAAAATGGGGGTAAAACGACCTCCCGCATAGGGTTGCTGAAAGATTAAGCGAGGAAAAACAGAGTCCCTAACAGTGAGCCAAGTGCAAAAAAGGGTCTTAGTGTGCGTTCCTTCTCCATTCCTCCCCAGACCGAAAGTGATTGATTAGCTTCGCGGGGTAAAGCTCCACATTATCCTCAACTTATGGGATCTTTGTTCGTGTCTCCAAACGAAGTTAGATTGGCTCCGTTTTCGGCGTGTGGAGGCTTCTGCCATTAGCTTTCGAAAACCCCCATTTCAACCATCAAAAGCTACCACATACAGGAGCTTCACCTTAAAGTTTGGGGGAAAAAACACTTGAACACGCACAGGCAAAATTTCTAGGCTGGCAAAGTGGATGACGAGACACTCAGGGTCACGGACGCGGCGCACGGAGTAGGCGCAGAGCCCATGCGCGAGAGGCAGGACGTTGGGGGCGGGCCTTGTGTACTCGTCACTTCCGCTTCCGGTTTCGTACGCACTCTCCCGCCACTCAGGGTGACTGTCACCGGTTGTATCTTCCCGCGTTTGGCTGCTCGCAGGTGAGAGAAACTAGCGCGAATTTAGGACGGAGGGACTTGCAGGCCAGGAGAAAAGGGAGATCACTTTGCGGGCAGTGGGGATAGAAGGATGGACTTAGAGGGCTGGAGGTGTTGGGTATTGGCTGGTTGCTTGGGGCAGAGACCCGGGTGTCAGGGAGGAGGTAAGGGGAGACAGCTTTGCCGGAGGAGTGGGGCGGTGGGCCAGGGGTGGAACTTTTACAAGACACTTGTGGATGTTCCCTGAAAGTGTTTTGTTTCCCAGGGTCATAGACAGGAATTGAAGAACTAGACCCAGTCCACTGAGACGTTCGTCTAGCCCGAATCTTCCGCGCTCTCTTCTGAGTTAAGGACTGCAGTCCATAGAAAACCTCACCTTCGCTCTTGGACTGCAAAGATGCTCATCTAGGGCGGTGACACCAGGCAGCCTCACCTGACTTTCGTGTTGCTGAAAGTTAGGACCATCTGCATCTCTTCTAGAAACCGCCCCTCCCACTGCAAAATTGTTACAGGTGTTTTGTAGAACCTGGAAAGGACATCACCCGGGGGTATCCACTTTTAACGTTTTTGTACATGCTTTCTACTTCAACCTTTTTTATTTTTTAATGTATGTTTAATTATTTATTTATTTCTGGTGTGTGCGTGTGTGTTTTGTTGTTGTTTCCTTCTCAACTCCATTTTCCATCATTTTAACTTTATGTACTTCCTTCCAAGGTGATCAAGATGGAGTTCACTGGAGGAAGGCAGAGGAGGCTGAGGTTGGCAGGTGACCAGAAGAATGCTTCCTATCCTCATTGCCTTCAATTTTACTTGCAGCCACCTTCTGAAAATGTATCTTTGATAGAATTTGAAAACTTGGCTATTGATAGACTTAAATGTAAGTGATATTTAAGTTAGAATGTGTATTTTTGAGAAGTTGACTTATCCTTTGTGAGAATGGATGAAGGTAATTTTTTCCTTCATTCAATAGTCCATTATCAACAAATATTTATTGAGGAGTTGATATTGAGGATTTGGTACTCATTCATTTATTTATTGTACAATGCATATTTATTGAATGCTACTATGTTCTAGGCGGCAGAGATTTTGAGTGAAAAATGTAATTCTTCATTGAGGTTGTATTCTACTACACAGAGTTAGATATTCAAATAATACTCATAATTCAGTATTTTAACTGCATTAATAGAAGTAAGTAGTGCTTTTGAAGCAAAGGAGTGAGAGTGTTTTAGTCTGATTAAGTAAGGCTTCTTTTTTTTTTTTTTGAGTCAGAGTCTCACTCTGTCACCCAGACTGGAGTGCAGTGGCTGCTCCCAGCCAAAGCAGCCTCAATCTGCTGGGCTCCGGTGATCCTTCCGCCTCAGCCTTTCAAGTAGCTGGAACTACAGGCGCATGCTACCACGCCCGGCTAATTTTTTTTTTTTTTATTTATTGTAGAGATGAGGTCTCACCACGTTGCCCAGGTGGAAGTAAGGCTTCTAAGAGAAGTTGAAATGTGGGTCTGGACCTTGAGGAATGAGTAGAAATTTTCCAACAGAGAAGTGAAGGTTTTTTTGCAAGTTGAGATACTGGCCTTTACAAAGACTTGGAGGCATGAAAGAGAATGTCATATTTGAGGAGGGAGTAGTGACAAGTTTAGGGTCAGTATAGAAAAAAATCAAGCAGTATAGAAAAAAATGAATTTTGTGCCTTGCTAATGGTGTAATATTGGGGTATAAGAAGAATGTGGCCACTCTCCTGGGGGCCTCCTCATCAATGTGCTGATGGAAGAAGGAATAAACTAGATGTGAACTGAAACAGAAACACTAGCACTGTCTTCAGAGTTTATGTTCCAGGATATCCTCGTGGAAAAATCAGGAGATACCGTGAATCATTGGAGGAGCAGGATAAGAACTGCTGATACAGAGAGGAGACATGCAGTACCTCTTTGTTGAATGAAAGAGTGAAAACATAGGAGAAATGGGATTTAGTAAGCTTTGCAGTGTCAGATGCTTCCTAGGAATTTAGTGATTGAAAAGTATTCCTGGGGCTTAGCGCTTGAGAAGCGAAATGGTAAGGGCCTGAACTAAGTAACAATGGCAATGATAGATTTAAGGCTACTGAGGTGGTGTCATTGACAGGATCTGTGACTATTTGGATGTGAGGAATGAGGGAGTAGGTGCCAGGTGGCTGAAGTTCCTGCTTGGATGATTTGGTGGGAAGAATCTCTGCTAGTAGAGATGAGAATGGCAGGAAGAGGAAGGAGGGGAAGATAATGGGAGATACTGTGAACTGAATAATGCCTTGAGAAGAAATTATCTGAGGAAGGATTGATCTGGGGCTTCAAGAACCTTCTAACAGCGTGCAACACCTGTTGGAGATGGTTCCTTTGGCTGATAGGATGGTCCTACTTCTTCACTGTTGAGTACTCTTCTCTGGTTCATCAGGAAAGGAAGGACTGCTTTTTCTCTAATGAGTCTATGCTGACTAAGTAAAGGAAGTAGACTGCCTAACAGGGAGCTCCATGTGAAGGAAGCAAACATGGGTGCTTCATTTTTTCTATACTGACACATTCCTCAGGGGCACTGAGGAAGGTACAGCAGTGGTTATCTTCCTCTTCCCTGATTGAGAATCCCTGCTATTAGATTAAGCTCTGGGATGTGAATATTTTCTCCACATAGATGGATATTATCTTCTTATAAACACATGTAGTTTATATGATGTACTTGCAGAAAATAAAAGTTATAACTTGTTCTCAAAAGAAGTAATTATGAAATTGGACTGTAGATTTTGTCTTGAATTTAGTTTTTAAAAATTACCTTGCGTTTATACCTTTCTCCTTTCTTTTTTGTTTCTTTTTAGTGCTAAAATCAGTTGAAAACCTTGGTGTGAGCTATGTGAAAGGAACTGAGGAATACCAGAATAAGTTGGAGGCTGAGCTTCGAAAGCTCAAGTTCTGCTACAGAGTAGGTACAAAAGGAAAAAAAAAATTACTTCAGTTTGTATATATTCATGTACTAAGTATCAGTTGTGGGAAAGGTCTTATATTAGGCATGAGACTTTTATAAAGACCAATGTCGCACAGCCTCTGCCTGAAGGTACCTCCAGTCTGCTGGGGTGATTGGTATGTAGTCACATGATTATAATATAGTAGGATTGCTCAACCTTGAGGCTGTCATCATTTTGGGTCTAATATTTCGTTGTTTCAGGGGACTGCATTGTAGGGTGCTTAGTAGCATCCCTGGCTGCTACACACTAGATGTCTCCAGATGTGACCAGATATATCCTGGGCGATACAGGATGATAAACGCTGTTATTAGATGTGTGCTCCAGGAACTTCAAGTACATGTAATTACTCAGCTCAATTGGGGAGGTTTGGGAAGGCTTTCCAGAGCAGGTAGTGGTGGAGCTGCAACTTGACAGATGTGATCGGATTTGTATTTTGGAGAGATGACTTCCAACAGTAGTTTCATAGGGTCATGTCAGAGAGGAGGGAAATCAGTTAAGAGCCTGGAAATGATGAGAGCCTGAATTAAATGCGTGAAGGGGACCAATTGAAGGGATATCAAGAATGTAAGATCAAAAGGTTTTAGTGACTGATTGCAGGGGGAAAAGAGAGAAGAATTATAGATGGCCCCCAGGTTTCTAGTTAGGACAAGTAGGTAGATGGTGGTAATATTTTGAGATGTGATATATATAGGAGTGGAAACATGCCTTAGAGAGAAGCGGTGGAGTTTAGTTCTCGACATGAATTTGAGGTGCCTGTGGAGTTGTCTAGTGGACAATTGGGTATACAGGTCTGGACTTAGAAGACATCTGTAGGGAGAGTGAGATTTAGGGGAGGGTTGGACTCATCAGGAGTAGGTGAGCGCACCCAAGGAAAATATTTGAGTGAGAAAAGAAGGTAGTGGAGGAATACCAACATTTAAGGTAAACTGAAATTGGAGGAGTCTAGGAAGGAGATTGAGAAGGAACTTTCTGAGAAGTAGGAGATGAGCCAGGATAGTGGTGTCGTAGAAGCAAAGGAAGGCTGGAATTTCAGTAATGATCATGATATTAGTAATGACAACAGGGAATAACAACAGCAGACATTTATATTATGCTTAACTTTGTACCAGACTGTTCTAAGTGCATCACATATACTAACTCATGGAACCCATACAGTAGTCTTATGGTAGGTGCTGCCGTCATCCCTATTTTACAGATGAGGAAACTGTGTTACTTATTGATTGCCTGGATAACTTGCTCAACTCATGATATAATAAATGGTGGTGCCAAGATTATAGTCTGGGTTGTTTGTTTCTGTGGTGGTGTTCTTAACTGTAACAGTTTCAGAAACTTAAGATTGATCATGTAAGGGGAGTTGTACAGTGTCCATTGGATTTAGCAGCTGAGTGGGTCCTTGTAGGGGCAGAGACCAGAACAATAACTGTGGTTGGAGGAGGAAGATGGAGAGGTGGATAGGGAATAACTACTTTTTTAAGTCGATTAGCTGAAAAGACAGAGGATAAATAGGGCATATAGAGGTTGTTTTAGGGAAAAGAGAAGATATACATATACAAACACATGTATATTTTATTTATTTAGTTTCTTTATTTGAGACAAGGTCTCCCTCTATCATCCAGGCTGTAGTGCCATGGTGTGATCATAGCTCACTACTTCCTTCAGGGTTCAAGTGATCTCCCTCAGCCTCTTGAGTAGCTGGGACTATAGGAACATGCTACCATGCCTGGCTAATTTTTTATTTTTGTAGAGTCAGGGTCTTGCTATATTGCCCACTCCTGGACCTCAATGGATCCTTCCACCTCAGCCTTCCAAAGTGCTGGGATAACAGGCGTGAGCCATTGCCCCTGGCACATATTTGTGTGTGGATGGTCAGAAATAGAAAAAAGAGGAGGGAAATTTGAAGATACTTTGGGAGAGCATTTGACAAATCAAGGTCCTTAAGAAGCAAGAGCAAATGGGTTGGATGATTTAGGCTCAGGGATTAGCTTAACCTATGAAGAAGGAGAGATACTTTGTCCATGGAGATGGAAGGGAAGGCAACACAACATGTGGATATAGGAGCTTGAGGCAGAAGGAGCCCACCTGGTGGCCTTTATTTTCTGTGAAGTAGGTCTGTTGAGAGAGAAGGTAAAGGTGCTACAGTAGGGGCCTTGGGGCAACTGGTGGAGATTGAAGATTTTCTAAGAAGAAAGGAAGGAGGTGATTATGTGACAAATCCCAGCTCTGCTGCTTACTCTGGGCAAACTTTGTGACCCTGGACAAGTTACATAACTTCTCTGTGCCTTAGTTTTCTCATCTTTAAAATAAAGATAAAGCAGTGCCTACTTCATAGAGTTTTTAAAAAGGGATTGTATGAGTTAATGCCTTAAAAATGCTTAGAACAGTGACTAGTATGTAGTAAATGCTCAAGAAATGTTTGCTTTTATTATTTTGGATGTGACTGAGTATTCTCTGGCATTTGTAAGTGTATAGTTAAGATTATAGGTCCTGAATTTTTATATTCCAAATTCCCATAGTTTTGTGTTTTTTCCTCCCGAAGTTCTCAGCATTTTGGGAATAGAACTGCAGAGTGTAGCTGTAGATAAATTTAGAATCTAGGTTTTGCCAAATGGTTGAAATTAAAGAAGTGAAGGGTTACTGTAAGAGTGAAGTGGCAAGTACCCTGGGTATAGGCTGGGTAATAAACAAAGTTAAGAGAGAGAGAGAGATTAATGGGAAGAAAATAGTGGGGTCCAAATCCAGGAGGTTTTGTTGAGAACAATTCACTTCTCAGTTTCACCTGAAAGATAGGTTACATAAAATAATTGTCCTGAAAAGCATATTAAGAAATGTTTCTGAAACTTTTGCTTTACCATTGGCTTAGGCTGACACAGTATTTTTTTTTACATCTTTTGCTATTCTAATGCATTTATTTTATTCATGTGTCATTATATTTAAGGAAAACTTAGAAGATGAGTATGAACCACGAAGAAAAGATCATATTTCTCATTTTATTTTGCGCCTTGCTTATTGCCAGTCGTGAGTATACATTTATAGTCTCACAGTCAAATCTTGTGTCTTGGGTTGTTAATTGGTACATGAAAAGTTGATGTTTTGTGCTGAATGTAGGAAAACTCAGAATAACATCAGGAAGCAGTTGGTCATGGTTTGAACACTGTGACAGCAAATTGTGTGAAACAAGTTGTTACTAAAAAAAAAAATGAAAAAAATTTCGCCTCATAAAACACTTATATTTTTATGGAAGAGATTCTTCATTTGGGATTAAAATTGGAAGGGACTTTATTAGGAAGAAGGACTATTGATACTTTTCCTGAAAAAAATAGTGGCAACATTTATAAGAAACAATGAATCAAACAAACTCATGTTTGAATTTGATGCAGCTTTTTAGAATTTGAGATGTATGGGCCTATTAGATATAACTTTTTTTTTTTTTTTTTTTTTTGGTAGTTGGTTTCTTATAAGTCAGTAGTGCCACCCAGAGGGAGAAGCAGTTAGCTGGTTTTTTTTTTCTGAGTTGGGGTCTCATTCTGTTGCTCAGGCTGGAGTGCAGTGGCACACTCATGGCCACCGCAACCTCGACTTGCTGTGCTTAGGCGATCCTTCTACCTCAGCCTTCCAAGTAGCTGGAACTACAGGTGCGCGCTATCACACCCAGCTTATTTTTTTGGTTAGATGAGGTCTCACCAAGTTGCCTAGGCTGGGCTCAAACCCTTGGGCTCAGGCAATCCTCTCGCCTCAGCCTTCCAGAGTGCTGGGATTACAGGCTGAACTACCACGCCTGGCCTACCTTTTTTTTTTTAAAACCTTGTTTTCCCCTCATATTAATTTTGTACAAATAATATCGTTATGGTTGCTTCTTTTTATAATAGGCAAATCAAGTGAGAATCTTGAATTGTTATTCTAAGATAATAATTAAGAAATTACTCACCAGCTTTGGACCTAAAGGTTTTCTTTTGTAAAAAAAAAAGGAAATTTATGCAGTAAATAAATTGTTGACAATCTGTGGAAGTCACTTAAAATAAATCATATTTTATATATAGTAGGTTAATCATGTTATTATATGGCAATAATTCCCATTATGTATCTGCATTATAAATTAATATATTTTATGGCATTTAAATATTGTGGTATAAATTCACATGTTAAATTTTGCGAAATTATAAACTGTAATCTTGTAGGCAGTTTTCTCTGCAAAGTTCCTCTGATATAATCTATTCAGAGATAAAGTTACCATTAAAAAATTTGATGTTTGCCGGGCTCGGTGGCTCAGCGTGTAATCCCGCGCTTTGGGAGGCTAGGGTGAGTGGATTGCCTGAGCCTGCGGGTTCGAGACCCGCTTGGGCAACTTGGCGAGACCTCATCTCTACAATAAATCAAAAATTAGCCGGGCGTGGTAGCGCGCGCCTGTAATTCCGGCTACTCGGAAGTCTGAGGCGGAAGGATCACCGGAGCCCAGCAGGTCGAGGCTGCGGTGGCCGAGAGCGGCCACTGCACTCCAGTCTGGGTGACAGAGTGAGATTACAACTCAAAAAAAAAAAAAAAATTGATATTTTTTTGGCATTGGTGAAACCACCTCGGCCAAATGTATATAATGTAAATGACTATTTTGCAGTTACATTAAAGGCATTGAACTATTTTCTTTTTATGTTATTCAATAATAATGCAGCTAGGCTCAAAGTATTCTGTATTTGATCCTTTTAATTTTATAACACCCCTTTACCTCAACACATCCCTGGAAGATTGTGGTATGTGGTATTTACATTCTTCTTATTACAATAGAGGACTTGTATGCTTTCAATTGCTGTCTATTGGCATCTTGCTCATGCTTGAATATTGTTTTATAACAATTTCTTGGATTTAATACTCACTAGATTTTTAATTTGTACTCATTTCAGTGAAGATCTTAGACGCTGGTTCATTCAGCAAGAAATGGATCTCCTTCGTTTTCGATTCAGTATTTTACCCAAGGACAAAATTCAAGATTTCTTAAAGGATAGCCATTTGCAGTTTGAGGCTGTAAGTACATTTTTGTCATTACTTCCAATTACTTCCTGGCTCATCCCTTCCATTGGCCGTAAGTGCTTATGTGTGGAGTTCAGTCTCTTTACATTCTCTTCCCAAACACCTGCCTGAAACAGTAGCTGATAGCTTTGTACAACCATGAATCTTTCCTTCTCAGTGACTAGAGGAAGGGACTTCTTTGTAACAAAATCTCATATGTAGTTGCTCAATTAAATATGTGATTTATTAAGGCACAAAAAGGGTTAGTTTTAACCAAAATTTTGTAAGCCAAAATTGTAAAACTAATTATGTATTCAAGAAAGCAGACAAATGATAGTTACATATTTATGGTCGTGAAGTTTAGAGGAGGTAATGCTTTACAAGCCAGTTGTCAGTAAGATCTGTCTGAATAGTTCTGAAAAATAACTTTTCAAACAAATCTGAATGATTTTCGTATTGTAATTATATAAAAAAAGAAGAAATGTTTGGGACATATTTTGGAGGGGTAAGTATTGAGGATAATTTAATATTTTATAATTCTATAATTTATATCTTTTAGGTAGATCTATGCCACAGTGGGAAGATAGATAAATTCTGTTTTAGAATATTTAGAGAACTCAGATAATAGTAGGACTGGTTGAGACTCTATTTTGGTGTTGGAATAGGTGACTTGAGGCCAAATGAAATAAAGAAGTAGAAGTTGCAGTAGGTGAAAGACATTGTCCTGTGTGACAGGTGAAAGACATACCCACTATAGTAAGGATCACTGTGGATTATGTGAGTTGTTAGAGTGAGACTGTATGAAGGGACGCGAACAAATATTTAGTAGACATTTAGTGTCAATTATATGCTATGGAGGCTCTTTCTGTAGTTTCTAATATACTTCTTATAAGAGCTCCATGAGGTTTCTAGATAACATCTACCTTGGCATAGACAAATGTCATGCTCAGGATCATCTGACCCAAACCTATTGCGTCTTCTACTTTGCGTCTTAACTTTGATCCTTGGTGAGGTCTACTTTGTTATTATCATTTACAATTAATTTATATTTTCATATTAGAAATAGTTTACTTTTTGCTGTCATTGAAATTACTGATTTTTATTTGGCCATAGAGAAGATTGTCCTTGAGAAGTTTCACTTTTTTCTAGAGTATCTCAACATACTGTGATGTATAATTTTTTAATAATAGACCTATTGAGATAGAATTTACAAATCTTGAAATTCGCCCCCCCTTTTTTTTGAGTTGGAGTCTCACTCTGTTGCCCAGGCTGGAGTGCAGAGGCACGCTCCCGACCACCTCAACCTCGACCCGCTGGGCTCCCGCGATCCTTCCGCCTCAGCCTTCCAAGTAGCTGAAACTACAGGCGTGTGCTACCATGCCCAGCTAATGTTTTGATTTAATGTAGAGACGAGGTCTCGCCAAGTTACCCAGGATGGTCTTGAACTCCTGGGCTCAGCCAATCCTTTTGCCTCGGCCTTCTAAAGTGCTGGGATTACAGGCTTGAGCCTCTGCTCCTGGCGAAATTCACCCTTTTAAAATGTATAATTCATTGATTTTTACGCAGAGGTCCTCAAACTTTTAAAACAGGGGGCCAGTTCACTGTCCCACAGACCGTTGGAGGGGCAGACTATAGTTTAAAAAAAAAACTATGAACAAATTCTTTTTTTTTAAACTATAGTCCGCCCCTCCAACGGTCTGAGGGACAGTGAACTGGCCCCCTGTTTTAAAAGTTTGAGGACCCCTGGTAATTACAGAGTTGTGCAACCAACAGCACTACCTAATTTTAGAATATTTTCATCCCCAAAATGAAACCCCATTCTTGTTAGTGACCACTCCTTATTCCTTCCTTTTCTAGCCCTTGGTAACTACTAGCCTGCTTCCTGTCTTTGTGGATTTGCCTGTTCTGGATAGTTCATATAAATGGAACCATACAACATGTAGTGTTTTGTGACTGGCTTTTTAAATTTAGCATAATAGTTTTAAGTTCCATCCATGCTGCAGAATGTGTCAATACTTCATTTTTTTAATTGTCAAATAATATTTTATATATTCAGATTTGGTGGATGTTTATGTTTAGGGCAGTTACTGATAATTTAGGATTTTCATCTTTGTTTTCCATGTCTTATGTTTCTTTTGTTCTTCTTTTCCTCCATTACTGCCTTTGTGTTAAGTAGATATTTTCTAGTGTACTATTTTAATTCCCTTGCTGTTTATTTTTCTATATTTTTTTAGTTGTTTTCTTAGTAGTTCCCCTGGGAATTATAAAATAATTTCCCTGGCAATTATTTTAAAACAATTTAGTTGGGATTAGCCTTGATTTAATTTCAGTAGTATACAGAAACTTTGTTCTTTGTGCTCTATCCCTACCCTCTGCCATTGTGCTATTATAGTTAAATTACATCTTTATACATCAACAGAGTTCCAGGTTGCTTGAAAAATATCTCTGTTACACTGTCACACTTGAGTGAAGTTTGCCTTGGTATACAGATTGTAAGATTAGGCATTATTTCTCATCAGGATTATGAAAGTATTGCTGCATTTCCTTTTATCTTCTAGAGTTGCCCTGGAGAAGCCTGACTCCATTTGATTTCTTATTCTTTGTGTGTAACTTTGTGTACGTTGCTATTCCTACTCCTTGGCCCTGGTGTACTTTCATCATGATATCTACATATTCTTTCATTTATTGAGATGGAAACTTGGTGGGCCCTTTTAATCTGAAAATTTGTGTTCTTCAGTTTAGGTAATTTGTTTTTATTATTGCTTTGATAATTTCTTCTCTTTTGTATTCTATGTTCTCTCTTTATAATCTCTGATTTGTTGAATTTGGACCTTCTGGATTGGTCCTCTTCCTTTCCTTTTCTGTTCTGACTTTGAATCTTTATCTTTTTGTTTTATTTTCTGGGACATTTCTTCAACTGTTCTCCAAATTTTCTATTTTTTCCCCTTCTTTTCTATGTTTATTTTTCCTTTTAAATTTATTTTAAAATTGACACGTAAAATTGTATGTATGTAAAGAATAATGATTTGAAGTATATATACCTTGTGGAATGGTTAAATCTAGCTAATTAACAAATGCATTGCCTCATGTAGTTATCATTTTTGTGGTGAGAACACTTAATATCTACTCTCTTTACATTTTTCAGGATTACAATATATTGTTATTAACCATAGTCACAGTACTGTAGATGACTTGAATTTACTCCTTCTATCTAACTAATTGTGTATCCTTTGACCAACATCTCCCCAACTCCTCCACCCCTTAGCCACCCCAGCCTCTGGTAACCATTATTCTACTCTCTTCTTGCATGAGATCAACTTTTTTAGATTCTACATTAGTGAGATCATATGATATTTTTCTGTGCCTGCCTTATTTCACTTAACATAATGTCCTTCAGGCTCACCCATTGTTACAAATGATGGGCTTTTCATCTTTTTTTAAATGGTTGAATAATATTATATATACCACGCTTTCTTTTTTCAGTTTCTGTTGATAGGCACTTTGATTCTGTATCTTGGTTATTGTGAATAGTGCTGCAGTAAACATGGGAGTGCAGATATATCTTTGACATAGCGACTTCATTTCCTTTGGATGTATACCCAACTGGGATTGCTGGATCATGTGCTAGTTTTATTTTTATTATTTTCAGGAACCTATGTCATTTCTTTTCATACTGACTGTGCTAATTTACATTCCTTCCAACAGTGTGCTAGGGTTCTTTTTCCCCACATCCTTTCCAGTGGTTGTTATCTTTTGTCTTTTTGATAATAGCCATTTGAACAAGAGTGAGGCAAGAGCTTATTGTGCTTTTGATTTGCATTTCCCTGATAATTAGTGATGCTGAACATTTTTTGTATACCTTTTCATGCAGCATTGTAAGTCCTTTTTAAAAAAGTCTATTCAGGTCTTTTGTCCATTTTTTACTTGGGTTATTTATTTTCTTGCTATTTAGTTATTTGAGGTCTTTATATATTTTGAATATTAATCCTTTATCAGATATATAGTTTGCAAATATTTTGCATTATGTAGATTGTCTCTTCACTCTGTTGATTGTTTCTTTGGCTTTTTAGTTTGATGTAATCCTGTTTGACCATTTTTGTATTTGTTGCTAGTGCTTTTGATATATCTAAAAAATCATTGCATTAGATAAATGTCATGGCGTTTTTCCTCTGTGTTTTCTTCTAGGAGTTTAATAATTTCAGGTTTTGTAATAAATATTTAATCCATTTTAGGTTGGCTTTTATATATTGTGAGAGATAAGTGCCTAATTTTGTTCTTCTGCATGTGGACATCCAATTTTTCCAGAACCATCTATTGAAGAGACTGTTCTATCCCCAATGTGTATTCTTGAACCTTCATGAAAAATCACTTGGTTATAAATGTGTGGATTTATTTCTGGGCTTTCTCTTCTGTTCCATTCGTCTATGTGTCTATGTCTGTGTTTTTATGCTAGTACTGTACTGTTTTGGTTATTATAGCTTTGTAGTATATTTTGAAGTCAGGCAATGTGATGCTTCCAGCTTTGTTCTATTTGCTCAAGATTGCTTTGGTTGCCTGGGTCTTTTGTGGTTCGATATGAATTTTAGGATTGTTTTTTCTATTTCTGTGAAGGATGTCACTGGTAATGGTAATGCTGACATTCATGTATCAGAGAACCAGGAGCACACTATATTTTTTCTCATGGAGATTTTTATTTAATCCAATATTGTTTTGCATTCCTTAACTCATATCTTTCATATTTTGATATTGTGCATCTAATTCATGAATTTTTCTGGTGCTCTCTGAGGTCATATCCACTTTTTTTCAGTTTCTCTTTTTCCAGGTATTTAGGTTGTAGCTTCCTATTCTTTTCTGAATCAGTTAATACACTTTCTTCCATTTTCCAAAAACATATTGACCTCTGTCTTCTATTGTGTTTGTTTTTGCTGGTTTGAGTTCTTTTTTTAAATTTTTTTATTTTATTGTTGTTTTTATTAGGGTTGAGGTAATGGAAAGAAATTTAGTTTACCATGATT